GCCACTGCTGTTGCTGGTCATCCTAGTTGACCTAAGAGACATCCTTGCTTCCGAAGGCAGATTCGTGCCCTCCTCCCTCACTGCTAGTTTGGCCTTTTATTTCATCTAATATTTCTCCTAAAGGTCATCAGCTTGTACTAGAGTAGATATGCATTCAGCCATCGTACTTTATTTTTCAAGGACATCACATCGTAGGTGTTGAAACACACCAAAAAAAAGAATGCTTGTTTTTTAATCAGTTTAAACTTGTTTCTGTTGTTTCAAGTATCGCGAGAAAGTGTCCTTTCTGGAAGTAGGCGTCTTGTCGGTGAAGAAAATTCATCATGAATTATTTGAGAGTGCTCTTTTTCTTTGTTCCTCCTAACTGAAAATTAATGGCTGTGTAAAGAAAGTACTTTTTTTGCTTTCAATGTCCACCTGCTGCGATGTACTTTTTTTGAATTTTGCAGACAAAAAATTTGAAGAAGTCTTTCGTAGAGCAGGAGGAGAGGGAACGCTCAAACATCGATGAATGGATGAAACAGCTCGATGCTGCAAATGAAAAGGTTCTTGCACTGCACTGTGTACCTCCTAAAAAAATTCATCAACAAAATGCATTTTCCAGGAGGTTTATTGACCTCTCGAATTGAGTAATTAATTAGCCCAGCTCAGTAATTCCATGGAACCTGTTTTTCGATTTAAAATTACTAATTTATCGGATATCGCAGTTCCGAATTCGTTCGTCCTTGCAAGTTTATGGTGTAATTTATTGCTGAATGGTGGAAAGAACGTTCATCAAAAGTTTTTACCGATGTTCAGTGATAAAAATTTTTTATCTGAAAGTTTCCATGCCATATGGACTTTTAATGAAAAACTGAATTTTGCTACACTCTTTTGGATTTCTGAAAATTTGTGCTGGTGAGCTGGAAAAACGTTTGAAATAAAAGCACGATTTTTATAAACGAATACTGAACAACAAATAAAATCCTGGTGGGGAAACGTAATACCGCTTTTCGGATTTCAAAAGTTGGTAAATTCAGCTCACACAATCAGGAACAGGACTAAAATCATGCTTCTTTTGTACTTCCTAGAACTTTTCCCTCCGGGAGACGAAATGAATATCAGGATCGTCAGCAGACTGGCCACTGATGAAAAGAATTGAAAAAATTACCGGCCACATAGTAGGAGAACCACACTAGAAGTTATAGCTGATCGAAGTAACTAGACAAGTGCAAATGTTTCAAATTAGTCACTTTTCGAGTCTTCGAGCGATAGAATTCACACAAATGGCAAAGAACTGTAGCGTCCTAGACACATTCTGTATTTTATGGGGTTTCAGTTTCGTGGAAAATTATCCACGGTTTAACGCATTTTGTGTGTAACTTTGAACGCCAGATGCGCTGTAACATTTAAATGCACCAAAAATCACATGTGTAAAAACGCAGCCTAATACACCTTTATGTACTTTTGAAGTTTAAAAAAATTTTTGTGGTTTGCTCTCGGTATCTGTTTGTATGTATTTCCTGTTTCGTTTACTCTATAGTTATGAGCGAGTAGCAAGAAGTTAAAACAACAAAACATAACAGCATAAGGGGCCCGAAACGTCTTAGCTCCTCATTTTCAGTTCATACGCCTCCTTCCTCTTCTTTTTTAAGGTTTTGGAGAAAATATCTCCTTCCATTCTCGTATTTTTCTTGGTTCTCCGGTTTAGTTCGCATCTCTGTAAACGTTTGACAAACTAAGAGGGAGTTACAGAATTCCTCAAATAGCTAACCTGTGTTCTTAGGCTGAAAATCATGTTACCGTTAAAATTGCAACTGAATGCACAGCAAAGCAATTCCGCAATCGCATAAAGCTAAGTAACGGTTATTTTAGGTAGACAGTTTACAGCGAAAGCTTAAAGAGAAAAGCGATGAATGTGCGACGCAAAACGTCGAGGTGGACCGTCTCCTCAGAGAAGTCACCCTTCGTAACAGTCGTGAAAAAACTGTGAGCGCTTCTTTTGCATATACAAATTTTTTTTTCAAAAATGTACAAAGCTTTCATTTGTCAGATACCGAACTGTTTTGAGTTAAAAAAGATTGCCAGGAACAGGATTTGAACCATGCAAAGTTACTGTCACGAACGACGATGTCCACAGGCCACCTTTTATCCAGCACTTATTCGATTGGCGTATTTATCGTAATCTGTTGGTTGCAGTTAGTTATTGATAACGCCGATCTTCATGATCAGTTGCAAAGAGCTGCGATAGTGCATGAGGAGCTGGAATTGCAAATGATGGAGCTGCAGGAGCGGTACACAGAGGTGGTCTGCTCGTTACGTGATGCCGAAGAAGAGCTTGGAACATATCGGCAAAAACAATCCGCATACAGGTCGCGTTTTTGGTTTTACTACATTTGCGTTTAATCAATGGCAGATAGCGTTACTGCTATGCTAAGAATTGAGAATTCTACCTTGCATGTGGCGCAGTCAGTCTTTCTGTAATTTGTTCATATATTTCGATAGTAAATTGGTACTGTTGCGTTCCAAACAGTCAAAACTGTCATCAGCTTGCTTCCAAGTAAACCTCGGAGGGAGGAATTCAACAATTTCTTTAACGAGTGGTTCCTATCGGCACATGCTGATATTCAGGCTGTTTTTGATTACCTTTGCCTACAGAGGATGAATATGGAGGGAGTTTTACTTTGTCTTCTATAGTCCTCAGAAGAGCACCAAAATTTAGCGCATACTCTTGTGCCATTTCTTCAGTTTAGTTGATTAACTGAATTCACTGTTTCTCAGCACCATTTTCCAGTGTATTTTCAACTGTCTTGAAATGAATCAGCCCGATGTTTGCCTTTCTTATCCACAGAATTCCTGTTATATTTTGGTAGTTTTTTATGCTCATTATCGAACAAAGTTTCTTACGCCTGCTGAATACTGTACTGATTTTCATACTGCCGTTTTTGCACTGCTCTGCGTAGTAAGTCGGGGTTATATGTGCAGTAGATTATGTATTGAGTAACAGTTATACATATACATTCCAGAATTTCTTCGAAAATTGTGAAATCAAATTTTTTTACATTCGTCGAAGAAATTGTTGTTGTGCCCTTGTTCGGCCCGCCTGATTTGAACGAAATTTTGAGAATTTGGCTCAAGGTCTTGTTTGCATTCCAAAACAGCGCTTCTCTGCTGGCAGGATCCTCATTTCTGGTTTCTTGATTTATTCCTCTTGAAATACTTGAGTTTTTTCTTTTTCAAATGCCTGAGTTTTTTTCTTCAAGGCAGCATGCAGTTGAAGAGTATGAGTGGTTCAAAGCAGTTCATTAAGGTGACATTAAAAAAACGGGTTTTTCACTATGTGCGTCGTTTTGCTGTTCCAGCGCGATTGGCTGTTCTGCTCATACGACAATACTGTATTTTTTACATACGCCGTAACAACAAAAAAAAAATCGCATGATGCCCTTTAGCGTTTTTGATTCGTGTCTTGCCAATTATCGTGCAGTTCGTTCCCGACAGCTAAAGAAACCAGCCCTTATACGATTCTTTCATTCATTTCCTTAGTTGTTGC